CTGGTAGATGCAGTGTTGTTGCTACTGGCGGTATGTCAAGCTATTAGATGTCTGGCTGTTACTGAAGGTCTTGACTGGTAGATGCAGTGTGGTTGCTACTGGCGGTATGTCAAGCTATTAGATGTCTGGCTGTTGCTGAAGGTCTTGACTGGTAGATGCAGTGTTGTTGCTACTGGCGGTATGTCAAGCTATTAGATGTCTGGCTGTTACTGAAGGTCTTGACTGGTAGATGCAGTGTGGTTGCTACTGGCGGTATGTCAAGCTATTAGATGTCTGGCTGTTACTGAAGGTCTTGACTGGTAGATGCAGTGTGGTTGCTACTGGCGGTATGTCAAGCTATTAGATGTCTGGCTGTTGCTGAAGGTCTTGACTGGTAGATGCAGTGTTGTTGCTACTGGCGGTATGTCAAGCTATTAGATGTCTGGCTGTTGCTGAAGGTCTTGACTGGTAGATGCAGTGTGGTTGCTACTGGCGGTATGTCAAGCTATTAGATGTCTGGCTGTTACTGAAGGTCTTGACTGGTAGGTGCAGTGTGGTTGGGTTCACAAATATCTAGTAAAACGCCAACGCCAAGTTAACACATTTAACGAGTTTATTTACACTGTACATCAGCATACAGGAGGCTAGGCTTGCCCTTGCATGAATAACAAGACTTTCCTCAGCAGACTAATTACTGCAAGAAAGACTTTCTCTCGATCAAAATATATTACAGTAACCTCAAGCTCTTGTCATCTCTCTAAGCTTCCTCTTTTGATGTCTCCCTCATTCACAGTAAATAGAGCGACTCATTTTAAGATACCTACTCATATTTCAACAAATGGATACAGATGTGCTTGGGACATGGACACAAATGTGCTTGGGACATGGACACAAATGGCCTTGGGACTTAGATATCAATGTCTTTGGGACATGGACATTAATTTCCTTGGGACATGGACACAAATGTCCTTGGGACTTAGATACCAAAGTCTTTGGGATATGGACACAAATGTCCTTGGGACTTACTAAATATATGGTTGCATTCAACGGAAAATCTTTGCTCGGCGTTGTCTCCGGAAAAAAGCATCTAAAGTCTAGAGTGTCCTCAGCGTACACGTAATTTTAGGGACCGGTCAAAAGCACTTAGCAAAGTTTGACCTAGTTCCAACCATCCACGCAGAAGCTTTTATTGCAACCTAAGCCTTCTTGTATAGATCTTTGGCTATGATAAGAAAATACATTTTAGACCCTCCTACACTCATTTGCAATTTTCTAGAAACTTCACATATATCTACTTCCATAACATTTGAGGACAATCGAAGACATAGAAACAAATGAAAAATGAACAGGAAACATTTTTGTTACGTACAGTTATATGTTTTTGCAAATTTAATCCGTTCAAAAATGTAGCTCGAGTGTTGGACAACATTGTAACAAAGTAAAGAAAACAAGTCTGTTTGAGGATTTGGTTACTAGTAACTGGTAAACAAAATCGATTTCAGCATGCGCCTCAGAGACGTTCAAAACTGAAAACATAATGTGCTGTGTATTCACAACAGAGTTCCATTGGTTTTGATGGCTACAAGCACCTTCTTATCTACTCATCTTACATCTTTAAGGATATTCGTTTGAAAGTGTAGTAACATTAAGGTTCCTGTTATCCTTAAAGAATAGCAATAAATACCTTCCTCTCTTTCAAATAATTTTAAAACTTGTCCCAGGCATTGTTCTTGCTCCAGGCAGATGTCTTGTTCCAGACAGAGGTCTTGTTCCAGGTAGAGGTCTTGCTCCAAACAGATGTCTTGTTCCAGGCAGAGGTCTTGTTCCAGGCAGAGGTCTTGTTCCAGGCATAGGTCTTGTTCCAGACAGAGGTCTTGTTCCAGGCAGAGGTCTTTTCCGGGCAGAGGTATGGTTCCAGGCAGAGGTCTTGTTCCAGGCAGAGGTCTTGTTCCAGGCAGATGTCTTGTTCCAGGCAGAGGTCTTGTTCCAGACAGAGGTCCTGTTCCAGTGCAGATAGAATATTACTAACCGATTGTATTCAGGTTGCAGATTTGTACAGAAATTATTATTTTGAAACACAGCACAGTATTAGTAAACACCATTTGGGAAGGAATTGAACATGTGTGGCTCTATACCTTCATATGAAGTCATTTACCCATGAACTGCAATAGTGCCCATTTGGGGCTCATGTATGCATCAGGGTTGCGTCTGTGCTGTGGATGCTTAATTTAGCTCGTGCACGTGGTTGGCTTACCTCACGAGATCATTCCAGCCAGAGCAGCTGTTTTCATGGAGTGGGTGCAATGCCTGTTTTGTAAGCAGAGCAATTATTTATCCATGAGCCTCCTTTTCATTATTGATGGTTTATCTTGATAATTGTTAAGTGTTTAGTAATATAATTCCACTTTTCATCCACGTTATTGTTCTGATGGCCACTGTAGGACCGAAAAATCTCGATCCCCATTTGGGTATCATATCTAATACCGATCTGAATTTTAGCGAATATTCCGTATTTGCAATTTTACAGTAAATTGCTCGACACAGGGTCCTTTCTTTGAAAGAAATGGATAATATTATAAATGAAGATTCGTTTCTGAGTTTTGATAAAGAAAATGATGACAATGGTCCTATAGATATCGTGGAACTTTCTCCATATCGAGTTAACGAAGTCTCGGACATTGAAGATATTGATGACAACATTGATGATGATGTACCGGGCGATTTTCAGCTCACAAACAGGCTATCGTACCAGATGCAAGTCTTTGATGACAAGACTACTGTAACTAGAATCAAGTCTATGAATTAAATACTATCATTACCAGATTCAAGGCTATTGTTACCAGACGCAAGTCTTTGAAGCCAAGGCAACAGACACTGATGGTAACGTAGGCGTGTCCGGACTTGGGTTATCAGTTGTTTTGAAAATGAATTCGATTTTAGAGTCTCGAAATGTTAGCAAGATTTACTTTGACAATTTCTGCACGCCTTTCCCCTCGCTGATGAAATGTTTGCAGGATATAGCTGTCAGGGCAACAGAGACTGCTCAATTCAACAGAATGCACAAGTTTACTATTGCGACTCACAGAGGACATAAAGAAAACAAAACATATCATAGATATGATTCCAACAATGAACTTCAAATGAGAGATTCAAGTCTCCCAACCAAAATAGATAATAGAATATAACAGACACATGGTGAGGTCGAAAAGATGGATTGGAACGTCCAGAAATACAGAATAAGGGGCAAAAACGCCGTAGTTTCCTTTGTTTACCAACGTCATCGATGGAGTCTTAATGAGTTCGCATGCACTTTATTCAGAAGTTCTGTACCTAGAGTATATCTAGCTCACTCTACACCAATATCCGACCGAAAAAATGCTGGGAGGCAATCTTTCTCGAAACCATCCAAGAGTCGTGTCCCTATTGATGTCAGAAACTCCGAAATTGGTCACTACATTGAATGCACAGAAAAGTGCTAACAAAGGAAGTGTGCAGTATGTAAGACTAAAGCAAGAAAACTGTCCTGCAAATGTAATGTTGTACTATATGTTGATGCAAAAAATTTAATGTTGGAGTACACGTTGAGAGCTTTCCAGTATGGCAATTAAAACTAGAGGGTATGTGTTATGATCCCCCAAAAAAATTTAATTTTGGAAAAAATCATGGTGATATGATCCAAAATACATGTTTTCATAATTAAGCAAATTTAAATGTATAAAAAGAAAACAACACAAAATCGAAAAAACAATTTGGCTGTTAATGGGTTAACTTCTTTTATTTCCTGTTCAATGTTTTAAGTATGTGGTCTTCTCATCTGATTAGAAAATATAGCATAAACAAAACGTGGAGTAACTTGGACATACTTTGTTCTATTTTTACGTATCGGCTTATAGACGGCAGAAAGTTATTTTCTATGGCTGATGCATAGCAGAGGCATCCCCTAGACAACCAGGGACAGTGTGTGGCTGATGCATAGCAGAGGCATCCCCTAGACAACCAGGGACAGTGTGTGGCTGATGCATAGCAGAGGCATCCCCTAGATAACCAGGGACAGTGTGTGGCTGGTGCATAGGAGAGCCATCCCCTAGACAACCAGGGACAGTGTGTGGCTGGTGCATAGGAGAGCCATCCCCTAGACAACCAGGGACAGTGTGTGGCTGGTGCATAGGAGAGCCATCCCCTAGACAACCAGGGACAGTGTGTGGCTGGTGCATATGAGAGCCATCCCCTAGACAACCAGGCAGCGTTCACTTATAAGGAACACAATGGCCACTTCAGGAAACGCTAAAGGCTATTAACTTTAATTAAATGCCCTAAGTCATCCTCCCCCCCCTTATAATTATTATTCTAAAATTGCCTCGTGTGTCAAAAAGTTTTGGAGCCACTGCCGTAGAATTTCTCAATGGTGAAGAACAAAGTGATTCCTAAACCTTGAATTATACTTCAAGTAAATGAAAAATGTTACGCTGGCATTAACCGACTGAATTAGTTCTCTTATAATATTTAATGTTGAATACATGGAACTGTAACGGCCACCCCTGTAGAATTCAGGTAAGACAAGTTGTGTCAAATTGAAGACAACTTTTGGCATGTTGCACAAACTGTAAACTGATGCTATGAGCAGCATTTGTCGTACAACCTGTAGTTCTTTGCCAACCAGTTTGGCTGGTGCAGACCCTTTATTTAAAGTTTTAATTTTTCCTTGTGGATCACTCAAAAGATTTGGGCGAAATGTAGAAGCCTTCTGAAGGTAGATGGCCATTATTATGACGCACATGCCGACTATTGCTTGCGAAGTCAATGGTAAGAACACGTCCCTAATTCCAAAAATGATATCTTTGATTAGAGCTCTTTTCGGTGAGGTCCACAAAACCAGTCTGGTGGTGTTGATATTAGAGTCGAACTCAGAGGAGACGCCCACGTACACCAATAACAAAATGGTGAACAAGATGGACACGATGGAAAACGATGAGATTATGATTGCCGTAGTTGTCCGCGATAGCAAATTCCTATATTTTAACGGATCGACCACGGCCAGACATCGAACCACGGTGATGAAAGTTGTCACGAGCATTGAGATGGCGTAGAAGCCAGCTCCGGTGTTGATGGATATCACGTGGACGACGTCAGGGTCAACTGGGAACCAGACTTTGAAACTGGAGAGTTCCTCAACACCTTGGAGCATCACGCTGACTGAGTTGATGCACGCTGGTATGAGATAGAAGAGATCGGACACTGCCAGTGATACCAGGGACATGTTCACACCGTCTGAGATCCCGAGGCGAAGGAATATCTCAATGATAATGACGTTGCCGATAGCACCGAAGAAAGTGATCAGGGCTATCACTATGCAGACGACAGTAATAGTCCATGTCTCGCTTTGATCACCTGGTGACAAATATTTGGTATTCATTTTATTTTAAAAATTGGTCAATTCAAGTTGCCAGGTTGTCACATATACTACTTTGTCGGGTTGTCATATATACTACTTTGCCAAAAAGTCATACATACTACGTTTCAATCGAAAATGTCTTTTAGATCACTCCATATGTATAAAGTAAAATTAATGTTAGTCGTAAGAGCTTGCAGTATTGTATAGAAACATCTGCCGGGGTTTTTAAACTATTGTAAAACTCTTTATGACTCAACAGCCTAAAATAAATATTATTATAAATCAATAGTTTGTAGTTGATGTTGTGGCGAACATCTTCTAAAATTATAAAGTAATTTTATTTAAAAGCAATTATATCGAATTTCCCCTCTGACATTTTATTTGCATATTGCATAATGGAAAAATTGTCGAGTGGTGAATTATTTCCAGCACCTTGTTTGTTAAACTGACACACACCTTTAAGTCAATTTAAATCACTTCAGTGTAATCCTGGTTGTGACTCGTTCTTTTAGTTGAACATCTCCCTGTTAAATTGTTTTGAATCCTAATTGCATGAAGTCTGTTACACGTAAACACTTTTCTAGGTGTTTCATTTAATCTCCATTCACTACCACTAGGATATTTTACTGTCATTATTATTTGAGAAAACATCCAATGGCACGGTGGCTTAATCTAAAACATGATTACATGATTATAACCACCCCCACACCCCCCCCCCAAAAAAAAAAAAATTTTCCATAGTAAAGTAGTAAAGTAAGACGTCATCAGGCTTCTTGAACAATTTCACGTGACACCTTAAAACACGTGACAAATTGTTCGGACACGTGACTTCATTCAATGACACGTGACCTCATTCAATGACACGTGACCTCATTCAATGACGTTTGACGCCTCGAAATGGTCACGTGACACAATATAGGCACCTTGAGAACCTTAAAACACTTGTTACAATAACACCTTACACTCAACGGCTTGTGACACCTTACACTCAACGGCTTGTGACACCTTACAATCAACGCCTTGTGACACCTTACAATCAACGGCTTGTGACACCTTACAATCAACGGCTTGTGAACCTTACAATCAACAGCTTGTGAACCTTACAATCAACGGCTTGTGACACCTTACAATCAACGGCTTGTGACACCTTACAATCAACGGCTTGTGAACCTTACAATCAACGGCTTGTGAACCTTACAATCAACGGTTGTGACACCTTACAATCAACGGCTTGTGACACCTTACAATCAACGGCTTGTGAACCTTACAATCAACGGCTTGTGACACCTTATAGTCAACGGCATGTGACACCTTACATTTGACGAGATTGACACCTTACAATCAATGAAATATGACACCTTACAATCAACGGCATGTGACACCTTACAATCAACGGCATGTGACACCTTACATTTGACGAGATGTGACACCTTACAATCAACGGCAAGTAATATCTTACACTCAACGAGATGTGGCACCTTACAATCAACGGCAAGTAATACCTTACAATCAACATGTGACACCTTACAATCAACGGCAAGTAATACCTTACAATAAACGAGATGTGACACCTTACAATCAACGGCCTGTGACACCTTACAATAACAGTAAAGACATTATTTTATGTCTAAAATCGTACTTGACATGCCATAAAGACATGGCAGCATTTTTTTTGGTTTTAAATTATACTTTTAACTACGCCCGCATCGTATTCCTAAGGAACAATAGAGTTTTCAAGCATAATCATCTGAGTGCAATAAATGACCTAAGTATTAGATTCTCTAGGTCGACAGAAATAACAAGTTTGTATTCGGTAAGCCTGGCAGCGTGACAGCGTGGCAACGTGAAGTGAAAAACAAAATCATTTTTTTTCATAAAGCTACGGGTCGAAATGATCACGTCACAATGATCATGGTCTGTCACGTCACAATAATCGTGGTCTGTCACGTCACAATGATCGTAATCTGTCACGTTTCTGTGGCGAGAAGGATTCGGGACAATTTATTTATTTATTTTTCAGTTCAGAAAGTTGCATGTAGAATCAAGACAATGTACACGTAGAATCAAGACAATGTACATGTAGAATCAACACAACGTACAAGTAGAATCAAGACAATGTACACGTAGAATCAAGACAATGTACACGTAGAATAAAGAAAATTTACACGTAGAATAAAGACAATTTACACTTAGAATCAAGACAATGTACACGCAGAATAAGGCAATGTGCACGTAGGTTCAAGACATTATCAATTTCGTAGGCTAAGACATTATCGAACAAGTAGGTCAAGACATTATGAAAATCGTAGGTCAAAAGAACTTCGATCCAAACGTTCAGAATTTTTTTTTTTTTTACTTTCTTTCTAAAAGGAAAATGAGTCACATCAATTTTTTTTACAAGGAGTGAATGATGTCACATATTTAAATTCTTTTAATAACTTTATTTCTACTTGAATACCAAAGAACAATCATCTCCGTACTGATCGGAAGCATCTCTTTGTTCAGCAAATATTGGATTAAAACTTGATCAGAATAAAAACAGGATCAAGGCGTCTTTATGATTTGAACATGGCTTTAAACATTATAACATTATTTCAACATTTATTTTAAAATAATAAAATCAACAATCTTGGAAAACTAAGATTTAACTTTCTTAAAACAAGATAAGAACAAGGTTGGAACAGGATAACAATCAGAGTGGAACATGATAAGAGTCAGGGTGGAAATGATAAGAGCAAGCGTAGAACATGATAAGAACAAGTGTGTAACATGATAAGACTCAAGGCGGAACTTGATAAGAGCCAGGGTGGAACATGATAAGAGCAAGAGCATAACTTGATAAAAGCAAGCGTAGAACATGATATGAGCAGGAGTGTAACATGATAAGAGTCATGGGGGAACATGTTAAGAGTAAGGGTGAAACATGATAAGAGCAAGAGCGTAACATGATAAGAGCAAGGGTGGAACATGATAAGAGTCAGGTTGGAACATGATAAGAGTCATGGTGGAACATACTAAGAATCAGGGTGGAACATGATAAGAGTAAGTGTGGAACATGATAAAAGTCAGGGTGGAGAATGACAAGAGTAAGGGTGTAACATGATAAGAGTAAGGGTGGAACCTGATAAGAGCCAGAGTGGGATATGATAAGAGTCCGAGGGAAACATGATAAGAATCAGGGCGGAGCATGATAAGAGCAAGAGCGGTACATGATAAGAGCAATCTTAGAACATGATAAAAGCCAGAGTGGAACATGGTAAGAATAAGGCTGGAACATAATAAGAGTCAGGGTGGAACTTGATAAGAGCCAGAGACGAACATGATAAGAGCAAGAGTATAACATGATAAGAGCAAGAGTATAACATGATAAGAGCAAGAGTATAACATGATAAGAGCAATAGTGGAACATGAAAAGATTTAGGGTATAACATGAAAAGAGTCAAAGTGGAACAGAATAAGAGTATGGGTGGAACTTGATAAAAGTAAGGGTGGAACATGATAAGAGTCAGGGTGGAAGATGATAAGAGTAAGAGTGGAACATGATAAGAGTCATGTTGGAACTCGATAAGAGCCAGAGTAGGACATGATAAGAGCAAGAGTATAAAATGATAAGAGCCATATTAGAACATGTTTAGTCCAAGGTTAGAACTTTACCAATCACAGTGAATAATAAAGCATTTATTATAATTATAAGGCGTGAATGTTTTTGAGTGGACCAAATTTTTTGCATTACTAGAAGATATGAACCTGTGTTTGCAGTGACAGCACTTTTTGCGCTATAATGTACCTGATAACCGCCAAGATTTCCTCACGTATGGTCACGTGTTTCATTGGTTCTAAACTATCCACTTATTTCAATCTTGGAATAACATCTTTATTTCTAGTTCTATTACCTGTAAATGAATCAGGTCTTGTTATTTTGATATTTTGGTATATTGATATATTGGTATATTGTTATATTGGTATCTACGAGAAATTTACTCAAACATCATTGCTCGTCCTTAGCTTTATTTTTTTGAAAATACAAGAAATTGTATTGCCCTGAGTGTTAAGACAAATCTTAACCCTTATTTTCAACGTTTTAAAAGGATTGGGTTATAAGATTGTGGTAACATTATGTGAATACAATAATAATAATAATAAAGTTCATTTCAAAAACACGCTTCATCCCCAAAGTCTCAAAGCGTGGTACAAAGTCGACAAAAAACAAATCTATAATTACCACATTTAAAGCCAATGGAACACTACAAAAATTAATTACAAGCATGCAATGTCAAAGTCTTTCTAGCCATTTCAACCATAAGCAACACAGCCATTATGCATTAACTGGACAATAAGGTAGAAAATCATCCCAGAAGGTGTTTGCGAAATAGATGTGTCTTTAAGTCAGTTTTAAAGGACTCCAGTGTCAGGTTGTTTCTGAGATTGACAGGAAGGGCGTTCCAAATTGTTGGGCCAGCAAATGCGAAAGTGCGCTTTCCGTAAGTCTCCAGACAAACACGTGGTGTCGAGAGTTTGCCACTATCGGATGAGCGGAGCTCTCTAGTGGGTACATAAGGCGTCAGCAGCTCTTTCAGATAGGACGGCGCCAGGTCATGTAAGCAGCGATAGCACAAAGTTTCGATTTTGTACTCTATGCGAGCAAGCACCGTCAGCCAGTGCAACTCTCTCACAAGTGTTTTAGCATGGTCGAACTTGCGTTTGCGGAGAACTATGCGAGTCGAATTATTCTGTGCTATTTGAAATTTATCCAGGAGCGTAGCTGGAAGACCCACCGTGAGAGCGTTGCAATATTCCATGCGTGATAGCACAAATGCAGACATCAGCCTCTTTGTTGCATCAATTATTAAGAAGGGCCTGATGTGACTAATCCTGCGCAGCTCCAGAAAAATCGCCTTGCATAGCATGTTAATATGACTTTCAAAATTTAGTCTTCTATCTAGGTAAACACCCAGGTA